GCCGAAGGCCCACTGCTGCTAATGCGTGCATTTGCACTAAAGGCGGCCTCTGCAACAGCCAATCACAGATCCGCGAAGGCTGATCTCTCCCGCCGGCGAATAGGACGCATGCACGCCTGGTCGATGCAGTCTGTCCGGCCAATAACTCTTCAGGCAACCAGACAATGCCCGTTCTCTCTGCCGCTTGCATGCCTGCTGCTAAAACGGCACTTGGACTCGACTGACTCTCCTGGCTATTTGTATGCTGTCCAAGTCAAATCTCTGTCTATCTATTCTCCTTTCCCTTGTGTGCACAATATACTCTTCCGTCTACTCTGGCCTTCACAGACTTCTTTTCCACTAAGTAACCATGGTCTGAAGATCGCAGTTGCTGGGTTTAACTCACTTTCTCTACTAAGTAACCATGGTCTGAAGATCGCAGTTGCTGGGTTTAACTCACTTAACCCACTGCAATAGAGTCCAACATTCCAGAAGATTGGTTTTCAGTAAGAATCACTCCCACCCCCAAACGAAATCCTCTGATTTTGGTTCCAAAGCATTTCGTTCAATTGCCTGCTCTTTCGCACTGCGACAATTTGCGGAACGAGTTACCTCAGGCACAATCACATCGTTATCCGCTAATTTTCCCGATCCCCTACAATCTGCATATAACGCCAGGCGTAGGACCGTTGAGGTTAATGTTCTTGTAGTCCATTTGGCTCAACACTGAGGACCTACGGTCAGCAAATGGATCTTTGTATGTAAAATCTGCTGATGATAGAAGTGTTGGTCCTCCTCTCAAAAGTCAGACATATCTTCCGGGGTTGAAAGATGCCCTGGACCACGTAGCAGCATGGTCGTTAGCCAATGGTCTTCTACTGAATACTCAGAAGTTATTTCAGTGCGTTTTCGGATCGTGACCCTCTCGAATCCTTACACATCCTGCCCAATGAGGTATTCTATTTCCAGCACCTTTGTGTTACTCTTACATCTAATTTTCCATTTTGTGTTCATATTTAAACCCTCTTCAGGATAATTTGTAAACTCTAATATTATATCTGTCGGTTACGTTCCTATCAGACACCTAAACCCTTAATCGGGCGATTTATAGATGCCTGCACTCTTCCCTTAATTCTCTACTGCTCTCCGATTATTTTTCAGCCTTACTTAAATAAGACATATGTCCCGAATGCTGCCGTTGTTTTTGTGCTCTCTTAGTTGGTATTATAACGAAGCGATACTTAACAACGATAAAGCAATTTACTGATCAAATTTTTGATGGTGTTGCCCATCCACGCCACTCCGGATTAATGGCCGCGAAGTCTTTCCGTGCCATTTGCCAAGGCTTCTGACATATGTTCTGCCCTACATAGGTATGTCAGCATTCTGTACAGCCATTCCTAGCTGCGATTGGCCCTGTCTCCATAACAGATTTTGATTTTGCGTGCAACTCTAGATTTATGAATATTTTAATAGCGTACCCCTTAATTTCAGTGAATGGAGCTATTTTTGCTGAGAGTTTTGAATTCTACCTTCGAAATAAAGCGTATATCTCTTACCCAAATCACACAGTCCGCCATCACACAAACACCGGCCACCACCACAACCAGGTTCTCAGTCGACAGAACTGCTCCTCTCTCCCCCTTCCCCCCCAGCAACGAGCGGCCCAAACTTGAGGACGGTGTGTTCGAAGCAACAGCTATAGAATCACACTCCCCCCCCATTCTACCACTTGCATATGCACTTTTTCGGTGACTGAAAATGCTCTAACCGCCTGGAGCCACAACCGCGAGAATATGACTTCCTGGCGAAATAACATGTGGGTCTAACTGACGCTGAGATGACCCCCTAGCAAACCCCAGTCCAGCCCTTTTCGAGCGCGCCGCACCTGTAAGAGTCGCAAA